AGTGAGTGGCTGCAGTACAGGCATTTAACCACTGCGCCACCAGGTCTGCCAGCCCAACTCTATGGTCAGCATCTGGTGGACATTGACCATAGAGTTGTGCTGGAGGACCTAGAGATTCCTAGAGAGAATATATAATTCAAATCGTCAAATAATCAAATCCACAAAAGGCAAAGCCACAAATGTGGAGGGTTGATTGTATTTTGCCAAGACAACCCTAGGAGTCAGAGTTTATTTGAAGGAATATAAAAATAATTGCATCCGATAAAAGGGCCCATGGTCCAAGAAAATTGATACTATAACAATTTTTTTTCATATACTATAGGATACCCAGTGGCATCACTAGAGTTAGTATCACCCCAGTGCAGTAACTCATGCTGTCACCTCCAGGCTGTTTGGCACAGACTCAGCCATCTGCCTCCACCAGCCAGGTCACCTCTGCTGTGATCTGGGTGGAGTGTTGCTGCTGTCTGGCAGCCTCTTCCTGATCTGGCTACTGGCGAGTAAGAAAGGGAGTCACCTACTCTTTTTGGTCTGGGCAGCAGGCCCATCAGACCCAGAAAGCAGACTCTTCCCACTAGTAGCTGCTGGTGGGGGTGAGGTGGTGTTGGTGCTTAACATCCCCTTCTGGGTTTGGTGGGACTGCTCGCCAGATGAGAAAGGAGCTGCACTAAACTCCATTCTTTTTGTGGAAGAGGGAGATCTGTGGCTGTACTACTGCTTCAGCTGCTGGTGCCTTCCTTTTTTGGTCAAGACAGCAATCCTGCCAGACCTGAAAAGAGCTGCTGGGTGGCAACAGCACCCCACCCCAAACAGTGGCTGCAACCAATGGATGGCAGAGGCAACCTGGCTGATGGAGGGAGGTGGTCAGTATGGAAGTCTTGGGTCAGTCAGTGAGCAATGGTTTTAAGGGCCCTGAAAAGATGGTTCATGAAACCCTCATCCCACCATTGTCCTAAAGGGTGATGGTTCCCCTTGTCTTTTTTATGCACCAATATTTTGACTGAAAGCCCCCCTGTTCCCCCCTATTTTCACTGCCCCTGGATTTTTCCACCATCTCAAGTGTGTATGTACAGTCCACTTTGGGAATCACTGCTGTAGATGGAGGATTAAAAACAATATACTTCTTGGAATTTTATCTTTATCACTGTGACAGCATTTGCATTGCCAGAGGGTGACCTTGTACAGGTCACACTCTTTCAGCCTTAGGGGATGGCAATGGCAAACCCGTTCTGTAGAATCTTGCCAAGAAAATCCCATGACAGGTTCAGATTAGAATTGCCATAAGTGGGAAATGACTTGAAGGCACACAATAAGAAGCAGAAGCAGAGATCCAACAGATCTGAACCCCTGAAAGGGCCTATCCCACTAATGGTGAACCTGAGTACCCAAACTTAAAGGTATTCTGGCACTGGGTGTTACTCATTGCTGCAGGGTGGGACTTATGGGGGGATTTCCAGGGGGTGGGACTTCTGTCTTCCGGGGGGGGGACTTCTCTCATGCCTGTTCCTCCTCTTCCCCCACCCTCTTGGGTCTTCAGCTATCTCCAGGGAGGCAGTTGAAGGCACAGGAGGGTGGGAGGAAGAGGAGGAACAGGCACACCCCTGTAATCCACCCTCCTATGCCTTTAACTGTCTCTGGAGAGGCAGTTGAAGCAACAGGAGGGTGTGGGAAGAGGAGGAGCAGGTGTGCGCCTGTTCTTCCTCTTCTTCTGCCAACCCATCTCTCTGCATACTCTCTAAATGGCTTTGCATGCCAGAGATGGCATGCATATGCCATAGGTTCACCAACATGGGCCTAGCCTCTTTCAGGTGTTAACTTGAAGCTACACAACATTTCAGACAGAAAAGGGGAACATACTGATAGTCACCAAAGAGGCTTATGGCAGATGCAAAATTCAAACCAATGTTCACAGTCAAGTCTCCTGCTCATTTATTTATAAAACAGTAGAGTTGGGAATATTTTTGAGGTCATCATCATGAGTTGGGTGTATGAATTTTGGGTGGGTTGGGTGTATGAATTTTGTTGTATGGGGTTTTAACTGATGTAAACCGCTTAGATTGTCTTCATTTAAGTGGGGTATAAATAAATTTTATTATTATTTATTATTATTATCCAGTAGTGTGTTAAAATATTACAGGAATCATGCACTGCACATTAGCTTCCTAATCCCTGTTCCTGCAGCAAATTGAATATGCATCTGTTGCATACTCATCAGACAGTGGCCTATCAGATCATGGAGTCTCTGTTTATGTGCTTTGAATATGTTCACGTTCTGGGCTTGGTGGGAAGAAAATGCATTTGCATTTGATGTATTTGATTGTATTTGTATTTGATGCCAGATCTCTAAGGCTTGAGGTGAGGTGGTTTTGCACCATCATTTTTCATTTTAAATATCTCAATAGTCTTTTAGTTGGGGAAAACAAACTTTCTGTGTTGTTGAATATTTTGTTTGAGGTAGCAACTGTTGCATGTTTATATTCCCTAATGGCTAGTTTGCCTGTTAAACTGTATGAGAGCCAATGTGGTGAAGTGGTTTGAATGTTGGACTAGGATTCTGGGAGTCCAGGGTTCAAATCTCTGCTTGGTCATGGAAATCCTTGGGCAAATCTCCCAACCTCAGAGGAAAGCCCACTGAGCAAATTCTGCCAAAAAAAACCGCATGATAGGAGCCAGCATGGTGTAGTGGCTTGAGTATTGGACTATGACACTGAAGACCAGGGTTTAAATTCCCTGCTGAGCCATGATACATGGATGACCTTGGGTAAGTCACACTCTCAGCCTCATAAGATGGCAATGGCAATGCCTGCCCCCGAAGAAACTTGCCAAGAAAACCCTGTGATGGATTCACCATAGGATTACCATAAGATGGAAACAACTTAAAGGAACACAACAACAACAACAACAAAATTTGACCTAGGGACACTGTACATTGGAAACAACTTGAAGGAATAAAACAAAACCACAATGTTAATATGTAGGATTTTAGCTGTAAAATATATTCATGGTGAGTTCCTGTTTGTTTGCTTTTTCATACCAAACCTCTAACTGTATCACTCAAGCCTGCAGTCATTTTCTCTACACTTTATCGTCCATTAGACAATGTATTTAAGCATACAGTAGTCCAGTACTGCAAGTAAAGCTACTTTCACAAATTTTTCAAAGAAGACTAAGGGCCTTTGCAGACTGCCAGAAATAGTGCACTTTAAATTGAGGCACTGCCCTGGCTCAGTGTTAGGGACTCATGGGAATTGTATTTTTTTCTGAGACATTGAGCCTTCTCTGTCAGAGAGCTCTGGTGCCACAATAAATTACAGTTCCCGTGATTCCCTAGCACTAAGCCAGGGCAGTGCCTCAATTTAAAGTGCACTATTTCTGGCAGTCTGCAAAGGCCTTAAGCTTATATTCTTTTCTCTGATGGATTGGGGCAGGGAAGAGTGGAACCAGTTGTTCAGTTTCTGCCTTGCCAATTTTATTACTCTGCTGAAGAGAGCTGCTACTATCTCTTCCGTTTCCCCAAAAGATCTTCATGGAGGCACATGTTTGTGCATCTGGTTTACTGTACTAAAGTGAGTTTTTGATAATTTGTATTTAGGCGCAGGGAGGGGGTTGTACATTTGGAATTTGAAATGGCCAAACAATATTTCAGAAATACTGGGGTTTCTAAAGGAAATTTGCAGTACAAGAAATATTACACACTTCTGGCTCCCTCTTGTGGCAAAAAAAGTCTGGAGAAAACCTCTTCAGCTTTCGCTGGTTGGACAAATGTTAATAGAAAAATATTTTCCCCTGTATCCCAAAAGATTTGTTTAGAAATTGTGAGCATTTTCAAAAAGGGGCATTTTTTCACTCAATCTGTAACTAGAAGTAATTGTGGCATATTTATGTTTTAAACATAAGAGATAAAATGCATTTTAAAATGAAGCTGGGGACTCACAATCTCTGTGCAGATGGTTACACAATTATAAAACTGAGTAAACAAGGTGCCTTGGAATTCTTAATTCTATTTATAGGAGGAAAAATGAATTGGACTTGTTGTTTGTTTGTTTTGCAAATCCATATACTGTACTGTCAGTGGAGAAAACAAGGGCTGCATCTGCACTGCAGAAATAATCTGGTTTGACACCACTTTAACTGCCATGGCTCAAAGCTATGGAATTCTGGTAACTGTGGTGCTCTGGTGCCACAACAAACTACCATTCCCAGAATTCCATAGCATTGAGCTATGGCAGTTAAAGTAGTGTCAAACTGGATTATTTCTGCAGTGCAGATGCAGCCAAGGTCTCCAGTAGTTTCAAAACTGTTAGTCCCCTCTAGAAATACCATATTCATATAGTTCTTCCTGCTGGATAAAGGAAACAACTGGCTAAGAAAGAACAGAAAGAAATAGGGTCCAAGCTTGTCAACAATGTTAAAGTATTTGGATTAGACCTAAAATTGCATCCAAAATTGGGTGTCGTATTAACAGGTGGTGAAACGAAAGGAAGGAAAGCAAAATGGGGGGGGGCAAGCGACCCCTAAATTCTTAAACAGTTTTGAGCAAAAGGGGATAACATTCTCAAATAATTTCTCAAAATTTTCTGGAAATATTCAGTTCCACTATAGAAAGTGCAGACCCTAAGGTCTGAATAATGGCACATCTCCCTGCTTCAAAGATGATGTCTCTTGCTTCGCATTAAAATAAAAAGAAGCAATGGAAACCAATAGAGGTCAGAAAATTTGCATTTGAACTTCAAATCCCAGAATAGCCAGGACTGGGTGGGGATTCTGGATATTGCAGTCCCTCCCAACTCCAAGCTCTCCATATTTCCAAGGTCTACATGGAAGCCACAAAAAAAGTTTGAAGGAAGAGGAAGGTAATTGAATGAACTTTCATACAGCGCATTGAAATAAACCAGGCTCTGGTTTAACCTTGAGAATTTCAATCATTAATTCTGGAATAGTTAGCTCTAGATTTCAGTTCTCTCTTTTTTGTTTGTTTGTTTGTTCCTTACAAGTTGCCACTGTGCATCAAATCAAATGTGCAGTGTTTAAAAACACCAATAAAAACTTTCAGAGGGGTGACTAGATCAGTCTCTTTTGCTGCAAAAGTAGGATGGCATTTTACAATACATTAAATACTGTCATAAAACCCTAAGCACATTCAGTGTTACTTTTTAAGGTGCTAATATTCCAAGTAAAACAAAACAAAACAAAAAAGCATGAGACTGTACAATTTTCTTGTCAAGTTACATAGGATTCACAGGTTACCAATGAACAGAAATACACGAGTATTAGTTAGAATATTTGCAATGTCACAAATCTCTCTCTCTCTTTCTCTCTCTCTCTCTCTTATGCTGACAGATCAGGAGATTGAGGGGTGGGGTGGGGGTACACTAGTAGCCTATAAAGCAAGACTGCTATTATTATTACAGATGCATTCTGAAATGCTGAGCTGGGCACTTGCATATTTTATTAATTTATTTTTTAAAAAAATTAAATTAAAGCAGAAATTTGAACCCAGGACTCCCAGGGTCCTTCTTTTCCCCAGTCCTAGTACACTGGGGAAAAAATAAGCCTTTTCAATCACCTTCTCAGTAGTGACCACTGTTTTTGCCACACTCTCACCCTTGCATGCAGCTGCAGGCCCAATTGCAACATCTAATTATTGCAGAATTTTAGACTTTTCAAAGTTGCTTTTTCATTAATGCTGAAAGGTATATCATCTGCTGCATTTCTATGAATGCCTTTTTTGGAATGATTTGTTCCTATTAGGAAGATATTATTTAATGTGTCAGTTAATAGTTCAATAGGAACACCGGCACCGATAGTAAAGTATCTGGTTCACTAAATGAGATGATTGCTTTGTGTCACAATATGTTCTGGCTACTTCAGGAAGGTGTCTGGAGAGGTGTATGGCATTCTTCAAGCAAGTGGTAGCCGATCATTTGTCAGCCATCTGGTGACAAGCCTTCTCTTTTTTAATTAGTCATCTTGTACAGCGACCGGGAGAAGGTGTGTGAATAACTGAGCATAAAGGGAGCAACACCACACAAGATCAGCAGTGCAGAAGGAAATTATCAGCCTAATGAGCCATGAAATGATGCATTCCTGTTGCATAGGACATTAATGGCAGCCCCCATTAGACTTTGTCATGGTTGACAACACTTTCTCAGGACAGCTCAGGAAGGTAACAGGAAAGGATTTCAAGTTTACAAAGGTTCCTCTATCACACAGTTAAAGGGAGATTTTTGCATGGATTTTAACAGAATGCTGAAAATGAATGCTGAGTCCAGGTTTTAGGGAGGGATTTTTGAGTCCAGGAGGGAATATCACTGAGGGTGTATGTGGGAGGGGGGAATCACACCAGATGTCACCCTAAAGGGGTGTGTGTGTGTGACACCACTGCTCCCAAAACATCTGACACAGACTGTTTGCAAAATTTTAAAAATAATTTATTAAATTAAAAAAAATTAAAAATTTCTTTTAAAATATCACAACTTACCAAATTTTCACTTTAACCACATGAAATTATGTACATGTGAATACATTTAGGCTATGCCTGTGATATTGTAATTTAAAGGTATAATTTTAATTTTGCAATTTGCTTATCTTACAATTGTTGTCATTATATTTGATGATATACAGGAATTATGATTTATGAGTAACAGTACAAAAAACATTACTAAGTAGCCCTGTACTGCACAGTGGTTAAATGCCTGAACTGCAGCCACTCACTTATAAACCACAAGGCTGCGAGTTCAATACTAGCCAGGGCTCAGGCTAGACTCAGGCCTGCATCCTTCCAAGGTCACTAAAATGAGTACCCAGCTTGTTGGGGGCAATGAGCTTACAGTTGTAAACCACTTAGACACTCCATAGCATGGTATGAAGTGGTATACAAATGAAGCTGCTTTGCTTTGCTTTGCTTTACCAAGAATTCTGCATGGTGTAGTATGGGTGAAGGTCAATTGGAGGGGCGACATCATGAGGCACTGCACCAGGTGATGCCAACCTAGTGATGCCACTGAGTCCAGGTTTTGGGGAGCAAGATGTCCTCAGCAGAGCCCTTCAATGAAGTAGTGTGGGGCAGAAGGAGTAATAATGCTGTGTAATGGCTGTTCCTTTTTTAACCACTTCCCTCCTCATCTTACAGTTATAGAAGATGGCCTAACTATCCTTGTTTTAATCTCTGGTTTCAAAAGCAGAAAAGGCAAATTGGCTCTGGAGCAGAATTTCTCCGAAAAGGAGGATTATGGTTTTGAGGGATCTAGAACTGGAGTCATCTGCTAAAGAAAAATGGTAGGAAATTCAAGGAAGATGTAGTAATGGCTGCCAAATTGGATAGCTTTAAAGAGGAATTAACACAACACTGAATGAACAGTTGGCATTTATGTCCTTCTGGTGGGCTCCCCAAAAGCCACCATGTGAATGCTGTATGAGACAGGCCCTTGGGTTGAGCCATGAGGGCTCTTTCTTGTCTTCCTATGTTCCCAGTGGGTGAGGCAACCTGTGGCAGGGGAAGGAACAAAGCATGATTCTATTGCCCACCTGCCCCAAACTATTTGCTTTGATGTGCTTTATTAGTGTTTCCAAGCAAGTCCAAAAAGAA